CGTCTAATATTTGCCCAAATGGGATGAAATTTGGCACTTACGACCGAATTGAGTCTAGAAGCTAGTATGTCAAATTTGGTGAAGATCGGTTCAGATATAGCTATAGCTCCCATATATATTGTTCATCCGATTTGTTGTATTTGTAACCCACAGCCGTATTATGCACTCCGAATTTAGGGAAATATATCAAATACAGCTCTATCTAAATCTAAATATCTTTGCCAAATTTTATCGAGATCGGTTCCGATTTGGATATAGCTCCCATATATATCTTTATCCGATTTCACATTAATTGTGCAACAAATGGGCAATAGAAGTTCGAATTTAAAAGATACAAATACTTCGGCATCGGCTTTGGTCCTTTGAACTTTAAATTATAATCATAGCGTGTATTATTGAATTCTCCCATAAAAACTTTTAATTGTTATGCGGAGCTCTACTAAATTAGCAAAGTGGTGTAGGGTATCATAAAGTCGGCCCCGCCCGACTTTAAGACTTTATTTACTGGTCAAATTTCGTTAATATTTTTTTTCTTTGTGTGTATGTTTTATAAACCAAAAAAGTTTCCTTGTGGCATTCAAACAGGGTCCTTGTGCAAAATGTGATCTGCTTGTCATCAAATAATAAGAAAAATCTCAAATTTGACCAAAAACAAACAATAGCAAAAAATCATTTTTTCCATTTTTAAAGTTTTCCTGATTTTTCAAGGAACTTTTTATTTAAGAATAAAATTCTATAATTTAATTTTTTACTTTCATTTTTGTTGCTTTTTTATACACCAGGATAATGAGGGTACTAAACAGGTTTTTTTGTGACAATGAAGTTTTCCATTTTCTCTCACAAATGATTTCAAGAGTATTATACACGCCAGCAAAACATGACAAACTTCCACATCTACCGACGGCCAGCAGACAATGGCTTCTGACAATAGTTTTTTTTTGTTTTGTTTATTATAATCCTACGGTGCCAAGAATTCCATCTATTCTGTCATTGAAGAATGGAAGATGCCATGATTGTTGCCATGTCTAAGGGTCATCACAAAAGGATGCATGCATGCCCGTATGCATGTTTTATGGCAATAATTGAATGTAAGGTAAAAAAATTTTAATTTCATAATAAAAGAGTGGACGAATGTATTATATTCCAACAAGTTGTTGTGAAAAAGGGTAGATACGAAGTTCAAGTCAAAGGCAAAAAAAAATATTTTATGCCAAAAAGGACCTTGATTATTTTTTTTTTTTTTTTTTTTTTTTTTTTTTTTTTTGAGAATGGAAGTAGAAGCTTTAATTTAACTTCACAATTTAATTAGTCTAAGTAAATTTTCGCTCAGATTTTTTCGTTATCCTGGCAATCTCTTTTAATATTTAATATTTTCTTTCACATTTAAAGAACAACTCCCAAGGAGTAAAAACATTGCTCTCTCTCATTCGACACAAAAATAAAGACAAATGTACAATTTCCTCAGAAGAAATTACTGCTCTTTGTGTAATGTTTGCTAATGATTTTTTAATGTCTGAAAGAAGAACATTAAAACTGTCATTCGAAATGAATAACAGAAGACAAACAGATTTGATGTTTAGCCATGAGCGCATTATTATTGTCTTAAAGTCTTTGTAATTTCATGGCGATAGAAAAATTGGGTAATTCAATAGTTTTTTCAAAGATGGAAATAGGAATAAGGTAATATATGCAAATATTGCAGGAAATAAATATGTTGTTCCTAAGGAGTAATTCTCTCTCTGGGAAGAACTAAAGAAGAACTACTTTTACCACAAAAAACCAAAAAAAAAAAAAAAAACCAAAAAAAAACAAAAAAAAAACAAAAAAAAACAAAAAAACAAGTAAAATCAGTAAAAAGAAGTCCTAAAGGGGAGGGGGCGACTTTATGATACCCTACATCACTTTGTTAATTTAGTAGAGATCCACATAACAATTAACGGTTTTTATAGGAGAATTCAATCATACACGCCATGATTTTAATTATAATTTAAAGTTCAAAGGACCAAATATGCCGAAGCATTTGAATCTTTTAAATTCGGACTTGTATTGCCCATTTGGTGCACAATTAAATTGAAATCAGATAAAGATATATATGGGAGCTATATCCAAATCGGAACCGATCTCGATAAAATTTAGCAAATGTATTTCTGAGCTGTATTTGATATATTTCCCTGAATATTGTTGTCACGGAGTGCATATTATGGCTGTGGGTAACAAATACAACAAATCGGATGAACAGTATATATGGGAGCTATAGCTATATCTGAACCGATCTTCACCAAATTTGACATACTAGCTTCTAGACTCAATTCGGTCGTAAGTGCCAGATTTCATCCCATTTGGACAAACATTTGACGTTTGGTGCACAATCAAAGGTAAATCGGACGAAGTTATATATGGGAGCTATATCCAAATCTGAACCGATCTCGATAAAATTTAGCAAATGTATTTCTGAGCTGTATTTGATAAATTTCCCCAAATATTGCTGTTACAGAGTGCATTTTACGGCTGCGGAGGATAAAAATAACAAATCGGAGGAACAATATATATGGGAGCTATAGCTATATCTGAACCGATTTCGATCAAATTTGGCACACTTATTTTCAGGCCTAATTTGATTGTATTTGCAAAATTCCATACCATTCGGGCTGATATTACACGTTTTGTGCACAATAAAAGGCAAATCGGACGAAGTTATATAAGGGAGCTATATCTAAATTTTGACCGATTATCTCCAATTTCAATAGGGTTCGTCCTTGGGCCAAACAAATGTAGTTTGCAAAATTTCATCTCAATCGGATAATAAATGCGACCTGCATTTTGTTCACAAGAATACATGGACAGACGGGCGGACATGCATAAATCGACTCAGAATGTGATTCTATGGAGATTCTCAAAAGTAACTATGGGTCTATCTCGTTTCCTTTTGCCTGTTACAAACAAATGTACAAAGACATAATACCCTTACCACTCTGTGATGTAGGGTATAAACATTAAGTTCGGCCTTAGAATAAAGGAAACATTAGAACCCATTATGGCCCACAAATACCAATTTTTAGACATATTCGTGGGAAAATGTGGCAAAAATCATTAAAAAAAAAATCGGAAGGTACCATTATATGGGAGCTATACCAAAGCGTGGACCTATACATACATTATGACCTACAAATACCAATTTTCAGACAAATCCGTAAAAAAAAAATATGTAGCAAAAAATCATCAAAATACCGAATATCTGGAGGTAACGTTATATGAGAGCTATACCAAAAACGTGGACCTATACATACAATGTTTCGCCACCGCAGCCAGAACCCATTATAACCAACAAATACCAATTTTTAGACAAATCCATGAAAAAATGTGACAAAAATCATCGAAAATACCGAATTTCGGGAGGTACCGTTATATGGGGACTATACCAAAACGTGGACGGATATATCTCATTTTCAATACCAAACATCCTAGACACAATACAAATTTTTCTGCTAAATTTTGACGATCTACGTCAAATAATGTGGGCTGTCTCATGATTTCAAGCGACAGACGGACATCGTTAAATCGACTTAGAATTTTATGCAGATTATGAATATATACTTTATGGGGTCTACGGCGAATATTTAGTTTTAGTTACAAACGTAATGACAAAATTAATATACCCTCCTTTCCTCCTTTCCTTCGGAGATGGGTAAAATCGGTCCACTTCTTTTGGTACCTCCCCCACAAAGGGTCAAAGTTTTAAAAACCAAAACGTTTATAAAATCCGAAATAAGCATTAGATTCTCTTTATACTTCACACATTCCATTATATCCACTAACAACAGATCTGTTGTGAAGATGGAATAAATCGGTTCACTCCTTCTGGTACTTCCCCCACAAAGGCTGAAAATTTTAAATATCCATGAAGCTCATAAAAAGCGAAATTAACATCCGATTCCATTCCAGACTTGGTACATCTCAATATTTCTATCAACACAAGATCTGATATAAAAATGGTAGAGAATGGACCATTTCATTTGCTACCTGCCCCACATAGGGTTCAAGATTTTGAAAATCAAAACTAGCACTAAAAGCGAAATAAGCATCCAACTCTCTTCAAATTTCACACACATACAAACAATATATCTGCGAAACCCTTCTGGTACCTCACTCACAAAGGATCACAATTTTCAATTCTTATATCTGTCATAACTTGCGAATCAACTCAGCGATTCTGTACAACTTGCCCTAAATCTAAATATATGTCTCTCAACCAGAATCCTTAGATGAGAATGGAATTTTTGATCTCCCATAAATTGGATATAAATGTTCGATTTTCTTATATTTCGATAATAATATTTATATCATATTTATTCACGTCCGATTCGAAATGGACAATATTGTCTCATTCCTTCGGAACCCCCTCCATACAAGGTCAAGAATTTGAAAATTCAAAAAACAGAAATCAAAAAATTTTTAAATAATCGAACATTGGCTGAGGATATATATCTCTCGGCAAAACCGACCGATACTTTCTTACTTGTTTTTTGGGGAATGTGGACCAATTATTTCTACTAACATAAATATCAAATTTCAGAATTCCAGTCCTATCCGTTTACTCTTAACAAAACTGTTTCAAATTTAGTACCATTTAGTACAGTTCCCACACTCAGTACATATTTCCAAAATCGCCTTCATATATCAAACTTACTTTCCAACTCGGATACCAAATTTCATACCAAATTTCAAGTTGTTAAATCGAATCATTCGTCATGTTCAAGTTCCTTCTAAATGTTGAAGGGTATTAAAAGTTCGGTCGGGCGAACTGTAAGATCAACTGGCACTGTAAAAAGGGCTAACAAGTCGGAAAAATGAAGATTGCGGAGGGGGCCCGGACCGCCAACCTGTATTCGTCCCTATTCTAGGTATGTGTTCTAATTAATTCAGAACATGTTTTTTAAACGTTCGGTTACTTGTTTTCATACCTGGATGGGTCTTTTAAAAACTTTTATTCTACGACTTACCTTTTCCAGTGTTGAATTGTAATCCGCTTTCTTCCATGTAAGATGACTCGATTTTATTGACATACGATCTTTCAGATTATTCGTATATCGGAAGGATCTACCATACTGTTGGAAGGGAGAAAAATAAAGAGAAAATAAAGACATTAAATTAGGAATAAGTGATGTAAAATATTGTTTCCAAATATTTCAAAAATTTCATAAAATTTTTCTTCAAAAAAAAAAACAAAAATAAAAACTAGATTTTTAGGCTGCTATTATAAACTAACCAGTACAGGCTGTGTATGCCGAAGGAAAAACATCAGCTCAATGTTTGATTTTTATTTAAAATTAAAAAAAATATTTTGAAATCGCCCTAAAAATTGGGTGTTTTCTTCGCACTCATTTCCTTTCGACCTACAGGGTGAGATAAAAAAAGACTGCAACAAAGTCAAACGACATCATTTTTACATTTCTTATACCCTCCACCATAGTATTAAGTTTGTCATTCCGTTTGTAACACCTCGAAATATACATTTTAGATCCCACAAAGTATATATATTCTTCCGTCCGTCTGTCCGTCAATACGTCTGGGAAAATCAATTTAGCTTCCGAAGGAAATGAAATAAGTTGCTAAAAATTTACTCATGTGTGTAATATGTCTGCAAGACTTTTGATAGTGAAATGGGCCATGTAGTTCCACGTCTTCGTATAACCCCCATACAACGGTACCTCCCGATATTCGGTATTTTGATGATTTTAGCGACAATATTCATCATAATTCCTTCAAAATTGTTACTTAATGTTCGTAATGCAGCCTATGACTGAATATTGTCTGTGCAGGTGCACGTCTTCGTATAGCCCCCATATAACGGTACCTCCCGATATTCGATACTTTCTTGATTTTAGCTACATTATTCATCGGAATTGTTTCAAATTTGGTATTTGAAGTTCGAAATGGATACTACAGCCTAAGACAGAAAATTGTCTGTGCAGGTCAACGTCTTCGGATAGCCCCCATATAACGTTACCTCCCGATATTTGGTATTTTGATGATTTCAGCGACCTTATTTATCGACATTAGTCGACGGAATTATTTAAAATTTGGTATTAAAAAATCGTAATGGATACTACAGCCTAAGACGGAAAGTTGTCTGCGCAGGTCTATGTCTTGGTATAGTCCTCATATAACTGTACCTTCCGATATTGGGTATTTTGATGGTTTTAGCGATATTATTTACCGGAATTGTTTCAAATTTCGCATTTGAAGTTCGTAAGGGATATTACAGACTAGGACAGAAACCTTCCTGTACAGGTCTACGTTTTCGTATAGCCCTCATATAACGGTACCTCCCGATGTTCGGTATTTTGACAAGTTTAGCGACATTATTTACCGGAATTGTTTCAAATTTTGTATTTGAAGTCCGTAATGGACACTACAGCCTATGTTAGAAAATTGTCTGTGCAGGTCCACGTCTTCGTATATCCCCCATATAGCGGTACATCCCGATATTCGGTATTTTGACAATTTTTGGCGACATTATTTACCGGAATTGTTTCAAATTTGGTATTAGATGTTTGTAATTGATACTACAGCCTAAGACAGAAGTTTGTCTGTGCAGGTCAACGTCTTCGTATAGCCCCCATATAAGGGTACCTTCCTATATTCGGCATTTTGATGATTTTAGCGACATTATTTACCGGAATTGTTTCAAATTTGGTTTTTGAAGTTCGAAAATCATGCTACAGCCTAAAACAGAAAATTGTCTACGCAGTTCCACGTCTTCGTATGGCCTCCATATAACTGTACCTCCCGATATTCGCTATTTTGATTATTTGATTATTCACCGAAATTGTTTCAAATTTGGTTTTTGAAGTTCGTAATGGATACTTCAGCCTAAGACAGAAGTTTGTCTGTGCAGGTCAACGTCTTCGTATAGCCCCCATATAAGGGTACCTCCAGATATTTAGTATTTTGATGATTTTGGCGACATTATTTACCGGAATTGTTTCAAATTTTGTATTTGAAGTTCGTAATGGACACTACAACCTATTCCAGAAAATTGTCTATGCTGGTCCACGTTTTAAAACCCCCATGGTACCTCCCTATATTCGGCATTTTGATGATTTTAGCTAGCAGAATTATTAACGGATTTTATTTTATTTTATTTTTTTTTTGTTTTTTTGAAAACTGCCAAATTTGTACCAAATGGTGGAGGGTATTCAAAATTCGGTCCGGCCGAATTTACAGCTTTTTTAATTGTTTTTTTTTTTTTTTTTTTGAATGAAATCAAAAAATTTCGGTAACAGCATCAAATTTTAGAATAAGTTTAGATTTGTTCGAATTGATCACCTTTGACAGGAATTATGGCCTTCAAACGGCAAATGAAACTATCACACTCTGCCCGAATGTTGCTCTGCGGTATTTTGGCCCATTCCCGGCGAAGCGCATGCTTGAGGTGATCGACCCTTTTGGTATTTTTTTAGTGCCAACCTTGCTTTTCAAAATACAATAGTCCAAGGGACTGCTATCCGGAGATTTTGGTGGTCATTGTGCGCTGGAAATGAAGCGAGGAACCTCATTTTGTAACCATTCTTGGGTGCCGCGTTATGAGTGCGATGGTGCTGAGTCCTGTTGGAATGTCCAAGGTCTGCAGCCAAAATGTTGGCGTGCCCCCAAGGCTTTAATACACCCTCCAGAATATTTTCGCGATAGTATTCGACATTTATTCTGATGCCATGGTCGATTAAAACGAGCGGAGAGAGATCATCGGCTGTTATAGCGACCCATACCATCACCATGACCGGCGCTTGAGTTCTGGTGGTGGTGTTGCAGTCCTGTTGGAATGTCAAAGGTCTGCGGCCAAAATGTTTGCGTGCGCCCAAGGCTTTTATACACCTTTCAGAATATTTTTTTGGCGATAGTATTCGTCATTTATTCTGATGCCACGGCCGATTATTACGAGCGGAGAGCGACCATCGGCTGTTATGGTACACCACACCATCATCATGGCCGGTGCTTGAGTTCTGGTGGCCAACCGAAGGTGCAAATTTTCAGCTGACCTATTTGCAAAGTGGCGCGTGCTGAGATGGTGCTGAGTCCTGTTGGAATGTCCAAGGTCTGCGGCCAAAATGTGTGCGTGCCCCTAAGGCTTTAATACACTCTCCAGAATATTTTCGTGATAATATTCGGCATTTTGTTCGCTGCCACGGTCGATTAATACGAACGGAGAGCGACCATCGGCGGTTATGGCGGTGACTATGACACCATAACCATGATCAGCGCGTGAGTTCTGGTGGTGGTGTTGGAGTCCTGTTGGAATGTCCAAGGTCTGCGGCCAAAATGTGTGCGTGCCCCTAAGGCTTTAATACTCCCTCCAGAATATTTTCGCGATAATATTCGGCATTTATTTGGATGCCACGGTTGATTAAAACGAGCGGAGAGCGACCATCGGCTGTTATGGCGGCCCATATCATCACCATGGCCTGCGCTTGAGTTCTGGTGGCCAATCGGAGGTGCACATTTTCAGTTGACCTCTTTACAAAATGGCGTGTGCTGAGATGATGCTGAGTCCTGTTGGAATGTCCAATGTCTGCAGCCAAAATGTTTGCGTGCCCAACGCTTCAATACACCCTCCAGAATATTTTCGCGACAATATTCCGCATTTATTTCGATGCCACGGTCGATTAATACGAGTGGAGAGCGACCATCGGCTGTTATGGCGGCTCACACCATCACCAAGGCCGGTGCTTGTGTTCTGATGGCCAGCCGAAGGTGCACATTTTCAGCTGACATCTTTGACAGGTAAATACGATAATTTTATTTGTTTACAAACTGCTGGACAACGAATGTTTTCTCATCGGAGATGGAGAAAACCAAATTCGGCAGTTCACTAGTTTCGGTCAAGAGAAGTAATTCTTTAGCTCTTGTGAGTCTATTTTCTTTCAGTTGCGGTGTAAATTCTTGCACTTTTTGGAATTTCAATGGCTTTAACCCGAGTTCACTTTTCTATATTTGGCGAATGGAATATTGCACTATTTTCAGCTCACAAGTCATTTTTCGGCCACTGCGACACGGGCGTTTCGATCAAGTCGCTTCTTTAATTTTCGAACCATTTCTGCTGATGTTGCTGTGTTTTCTTCCCTCCACTTCCTTGACGTCGGGCTACGCTACCAGTATCACGTAATCGGTAACGAGCGATGGTACGAGCCACAATCGATTTATTCACATTTAAATGCTGGAGTGCTCTAACGATAGCCACTTGGTTGGTGGTTTTCCAGCCAAATATAAAGAAATCACACTATCACCCTTGATTTCCATCACGAATAACTTTTTTTCTGGAAAATTCTCAACAAAATGCTTTTGTAGGTTTGTAAACAATATACCGAGCTGTCACTGGAATAATTTTAACAGCTGTCAGATGAGTGGCTTAGAAATGACAGTAGTCTGAAGTTGATTGCAGTTTTTTTTTTCATCTCACCCTATACATAACTCCGCCTTAGAAACAATTTTTGAAAATCACAAAAATTAATTCCGATTTTTACTCACCCTATCATAGTTGCCATTATTAGACAGACTTGTTGCCAGGGTGTTTTCACGAAAACTCGATTGATCGCGGGCGAAACCATTTTTCCGGCATTTGCCACAGAGGGTGTCCTTGAAGGCGACACGATAGCGATGTGACATCACGTTGTACAAAATCGGATTAATTGTGCTAAAAATAGGAAAAAATAAATAAATAAATAAACACACACACACACGGGTAACCCATTCACACTCACACACACACACTCAAACACACCCACCCACCCACAACTTACCAAGACAAATAATAGGCAAAGCCGGTTATTGAGAAAAGCCATTCGTTGATTTCGAAATAATATTTGCTCTCACGACCGTAGATAATAAATAAACGCTGGATGTGAAACGGCAGCCAGCAGATGAAGAATGTCAGGACAACGGCAGCTGGAAGAGGGCGACAACAAATAAATTATTTACTTTTTTTGTTCAGAGCAAATTCTTCTTCTTCAAATCGAGAGAAAAAATAATAAAAGATTCTGTTTAGCTGTAAATTTGTCTACATCACTTGGGCAGGCGGGGCCTGAGAAGGCCCAAATCTATGTAAATGTTAAACAAATAGCCAACCAACAACATCCACTCGTATTTACATTTGCCAACAATCGTATTTCATTTATTAAGATAACAGATTTAGTTCATAAAAAGCTGTAGCAGAATGCCAACTCAGGTAGATAAGAAGATTAGATAAAATAGCTCATGGACACAAGTGCGAACATTGGTGGGAGTATATTTTTAGAAATGCATCTTTTTATGATTTAATCGTTTCAGGGTTGATGGTATTTCAAATGAATAGATATTTAATGCGGTCTAGTGTGGGAAGATCTAGGAAGGAGAGAAAGGAGGTAAATTGGCAAAACATTGCCAATGACTGAGTTGAAGAATTAAATTGATATGGTAATGGATATTTGAATTTTTTTTAACACAATCCGAATAGACTTCGGCCGACTTCGGAAAAATTATATAAAACAAGTTAAAATGTAACAAGTTCGGCCGGATCGAACTTTGAATACCCTCCACCATTTGGAAGGAATTTGGAAATTTTCAAAAAATAAAATCCTTAAAAAATTCTGTTAAATTTTTAAAAATACCGAATATAGCCGTTACATTGGGGTCTATACGACGTGGACCTACATAGGCCTTGTTTGTCATAAGCCATTACCATATTCAAATTCGAAACAATTTTCTGTCACAGGCTATAGCATCCATTATGAACGTCAAATACGACATCTCAAAAAATTTCGGTGGGTATTGTACCTAACGAATATATGGAGGTACTGATAAATGGGGCCTATACGCAGACCTGTACCTGCATAGACAATTTTATGTCACAGACTGTAGTTTCCATTACGAATCTCAAATACCAAATTTGAAACAATTCCGATGAATAAATTCCCTAAAATCCTCCAAATATCGAATATCGGGGGGTACCGTTATATGGCGCCTATACGAAGACGTGGACATGCACAGACAATTTTCTGTAATATGCTGTAATATCCATTTCGAACTTCAAATTCCAATTTTGAAACAATTCCGATGGATAATATCGCTAAAATCATCAAAATACCGAATATCGGGAGGTACTTATATATGGGGGCTATACGAAGACGTGGACCTGCACAGACAATTTTCTGTAATATGCTGTAGTATCCATTTCGAACTTCAAACACCAAATTTAAAACAATTCCGGCGAATAATGTCGCTAAAATCATCAAAATACCGAATATCGGAAGGTACCGTTATATGGGGGCTATAAGAAGACGTGGAACTGCACAGACAATTTTCTGTAATATGCTGTAGTATCCATTTCGAACTTCAAACACCAAATTTAAAACAATTCCGGTGAATAATGTCGCTAAAATCATCAAAATACCGAATATCGGAAGGTACCGTTATATGGGGGCTATATGAAAACGTGGACCTACATGTCGCATTTACGAACTTATCCTGCCTACTGGAAAAATAAACATGTGTTCAAAATTTTAGCCTTCTATCTCAATTCGTTCGAAAGATAGCGTGATTACAACAGACAGACAGACAGGCGGACGGACAGGCGGACGGACAGACAGACACACCGACAGACAGACTGACATGGCTAAATCGTCTTAGAATTTTACGCTGATCAAGAATATATATACTTTGTTGGGTCTAAGATCATTATTTCGATCAGTTACAAACGGAATGACAAAATGAATATACCCTCCTCCATAGTATGGTGGAGGGTATAAAAATAGGTATTTGTTGGTCATAATGGGTTCTAGGTCCGGTGACGAAACATTGTATGTATAGGTCCACGTTTTGGTATAGCCTCCATATAACGGTACCCCCGATTTTCGATATTTTTTCTGAATTTCGACTTCGGAAAAAAATTATCAAAAAATATTTAGACCCTACAACACAATGTGTTGGGGTATTATAAGTTTGATTGTGCCAAAATGTTTGTAACACCGATCCTCAGGAAATTTTTGTATGGAGGTGGAGTTAGGATCAGAATATAAGTCTATTGTTTCTGCAGATGATTGCAAAATATTAAGGGGTTAAAATGAACATTTTCTTGTTTCAGGTCACAATTTAAGAAGACCAATCGACACTGAATTTTGCATGGGGTTAGAATTAAGGCCAGGGCAGAACCTGGCAGTTTCTATGGTCATCAGTTAGGGGTTAAATGCGCTACAACTTTTGTGTAAAAAAAAAACTAAAATTAACAAATTACTAAAATTGCCAAAGGTAGGTGAATTATTAACAACATTCATTATACCCTCAGCCATATGACTGGAGCAGGTATATATCATTTAATAGGACCAAAACTTGCCTCATCAAAATTAAAACTTGGTACATCGTAATATTATTATCAAACTTAGATCCAGTTTGGAGATGGGCAATATCGGTCGGCTCTTATCAAAAAAACAAAAAACAAAAAAAAGAAAACAGTAAAAAAAGTCCTAAAGTCGGGCGGGGCCGACTTTATGATACTCTACACAACTTTGCTAATTTAGTAGAGCTTCACATAACAATTAAGGGTTTTTATGGGAGAATTCAATCATACACGCCATGATTATAATTATAATTTAAAGTTCAAAGGACTAAATATGCCGAAGCATTTGTATCTTTTAAATTCGGACTTGTATTGCCCATTTGGTGCACAATTAATTTGAAATCGGATAAAGATATATATGGGAGCTATATCCAAATCGGAACCGATCTCGATAAAATTTGGCAAAGATATTTCTGAGCAGCATTTGATATATTTCCCCGAATATCGTTGTTACGGAGTGCATATTACGGCTGTGGGGAACAAATATAATAAATCGGATGAACAATATATATGGGAGCTATAGCTATATCTGAACCGATCTTCACCAAATTTGACATACTAGCTTCTAGGCTGAATTCGGTCGTAAGTGCCAAATTTCATTCCATTTGGACAAATATTAGACTTTTGGTGCACAATAAAAGGTAAATCGGACGAAGTTATATATGGGAGCTATATCCAAATCTGAACCGATCTCGATAAAATTTAGCAAATGTATTTCTGAGCTGTATTTGATATATTTCCCCAAATATTGTTGTTGCAAAGTGCATATTACGGCGGCGGTGGACAAAAATAACAAATCGGATGAACAATATATATGGGAGCTATTGCTATATCTGAACCGATCTTCACCAAATTTGACATACTAGCTTCTAGGCTGAATTCGGTCGTAAGTGCCAAATTTCATTCCATTTGGACAAATATTAGACGTTTGGTGCACAATAAAAGGTAAATCGGACGAAGTTATATATGGGAGCTATATGCAAATCCGAACCGATTTCGATAAAATTTAGCAAAGGTATTTCTGAGCTGCATTTGATATATTTCCCCAAATATTGTTGTTACAGAGTGCATACTACGGCTGCGGAGGACAGAAATAACAAATCGGATGAACAATATATATGGGAGCTATTGCTATATCTGAAACGATTTCGATCAAATTTAACATACTTATTTTCAGGTCTAAAAATTCCACACTATTCGAGTTGATATTACACGTTTGGTGCACAATAAAAGACAAATCGGACGAAGATATATATGGGAGCTATATCTAAATTTTTACCGATTATCTCCAATTTCAACGGGGTTCGTCCTTGGACCAAACAAATGTTGTTTGGAAAATTTCATCTCAATCGGATAATAAATGCGACCTGAATTTTGTTCGCAAGAATACATGAACAGACTGACATGCATCAATCAACTCAGAAATTGATTCTATGGAGATTCTCAAACGTAACTATGGGTCTATCTCGCTTCCTTCTACATGTTACAAACAAATGCACAAAGACATAAAACACTATGTGTTGTAGGGTATAAAAAAGAAATAGTAAGGACTATATGTGATACCCTACACCACCATGCACATTTAGAGGGGCCCCCTAAAAAGAAGAATTTATTTGAAGTAGATCGTATCAACTATCAACATTCACATTTGGCTTTAGAGCAGTTATAGTTGGGCTTCAGAGGGGACTAATACAGGGTGCGATGAAAAAACTGCAACCAATTTCAGACTGCTGTCATTTCTAAGCCACTCGCCCAACAGCTGTTAAAAATACTCCAGTGACAGCTTATTATATTGGATTTTGGTGAGAATTTTCCAGAAAAAAAGTTATTCGTGATGGAATTCAAGCGGGATAGTGTGATTTCTTTTTTTTGGCTGGAAAACCACCAACCAAATGGCTATCATTAGAGCACTCCAGCATTTAAATATGAATAAATATTTTGTGCCTCGTACCATCGCTCGTTACGGTTACTCATTACTGGTAGCGTAGCCCGACGTCAAGGAAGTGCACGTGGACGGAAGAAAACAACAACATCAACAGAAATGGTTCGAAAAGTAAAGAAGCGACTTGATCGAAACCCGCGTCGCAGTGGCCGAAAAATGGCTCGTGAGCTGAACATATCGCAATATTGCATTTGGAAAATATTGAAAAATGAGCTCGGGGTAAAGCCAATGAAATTCCAAAAAGTGCAAGAACTTGCACCACAACAGAAAGAAAATAGACTCAAAAGAGCAAAAGAGTTGCTTCGGTTGGCCGAAAGTGGTGAACTGCCGGATTTGGTTTTCTCCAATGAGAAAACATGTGTTGTCCAGTAGTTTGTAAACAACAACAAACAAAATGATCGTGTTCACTTGTCAAAGAGGTCAGATGAAAATGTGCACCTTCGGTTAGCCACCAGGACTCAAGCGCCGGCCATGGTCATGGTGTGGGCTGCCATAACAGCCGATGGGCGTTCTCCGCTCCTATTAATCGACCATGGCATCAGAATAAATGCCGAATATTATCGCGAAAATATTCTGGAGGGTGTATTAAAGCCTTGGGCACGCAAAAATTTTTGGCTGCAGACCTTGGACATT